CCTTTATCAGACGGCAGAGATGCAGACAGTTAGACATACAGACATGGTCCTGAGCGGAAAATACAAATTTGAAATATAAAATTGCATGCCAGAGAGTTGGCTCGCATTTTGATAGCTTGGATGCAGAGTTCGAAGTTAGCAGCAGTGAGAACGAATTTTAGAAACTATTGATTTTCTTTTGCAGTGTTTTCCATGCTGCGTGAGGATAAAAGGGATAAAGGTACGCTTTTTTGAGAAAAATCCTTTCGGCTTGCTATGCTCTGCATTTTCTGGCTGCATGTCCGGGTGTTTGGCATAGAGTGGCGGAATTGCAATACGCTTACTTTTCCGAATTTTCTATGCTATACTTTGGGGAGAAACTGTGCTGCTATGGGCGTCTGACATGTAATTGTCCTGTCTTCCATGTTTTTGTCAAAGCGAGAACTGGTCCCCAGCGTCAGAAGACTGCAAAAACTGTTCTTTTTTACATTATAACTTGGGATTTGCTAGCCCGTAAGTGATACCATGTTTCCTACATAATTTTGGCAAGGCGAGAACTGGTCCCCAAGACAAAAAATGCGAGAAATTGTCTTTCAAAGTCATAACCTTCGGGAATTTGGCCTGTGAGATAGTCAGTCTTGAATTTTCATATTTTAACTGGTCAAGAAAACTTCCACGCTTACTTTTCCTGGGGTGCATTTGATTTTGAGGATAGACATCTAAAATTAAGTTGGTCTGCATAAGTAAAGTGCACGTTCAGCTTACGAGAACTGGTCCTCACGCATGCAGTTGCCCCTTGTTTTCCCCCATCCCCTCCCTCCATGCGCTTACCGATGGTCTCTAGCACGTAAAATAAAATCACACCCAGAACCATGCGGCTGTAATTTCAGTACGATGAGGACATGTTAGCTCCAACGGCTATGCGAATGCGTTTGGTACGTTTTTGATGTGTTCGATCGATTCGATAGTGTTTTGTTGAGTTGTGCTGTGTTGGTGCAATTGCGTATACACTTTAGCACTGACGTGCATATACGGTAGTCATAGGTAGCGCTTAATACATCAGGCTTCATTTTTTGCATCATTAAAGCCCATTCAGATTTTAGTGCATGTCCGGCATAAAAGCGCGATGACGCGCATCGATTCAAAACCAATCAATAATCGATTTTCTCTAGCTGTTTGTTAGTAGCTCGAGTAGTGTGTGTATTGGCATGGCTTAATGCTTCCACGCTTTCTTTCTATCCATTCACTTTCTTCATATTATTGATCCACGATGAATACGACACCCGCCGCGCCGCGTGTGTTGCGCGCTTGCTGAGATTGGCAATAGATTGATTGGCTCCAAGTGGTTCAGACAAAGTCAATTTCACCTGCACGATTTTCGCAAAATAGCACTAAAATCATTGAATCAGCTGATAGCGTATGACTAAAAGTTAGAATTTTTGGAAAAGCTAGCAACTGTGAAATTTTTTTCTGTGAGTCATTCTCAAGAAATTTGGCTTAATATGAGATCATTTGCAGAAAAATCAAGCGCTTACATCGCACAGTGGGACAGCTCCGCCCACCCCAACCATAAGTGGGCGGAGCATCCCCCATCTCACCATTGACACAGCTTTTTTACGATAACTACGACTTCGAAAGCATCTTAGGCGCAATTTTTTCACATTCTGTTCTGTTTTCACCACATTCCCTCTATGTTTTGAACAAATGGCTATCAGCTGACTATAATAGAAACAATTTCTCAGCATTGAATAGCAAACCAATTGCCACAGAGTCCTTTCGCTAGCCTATAACGCCTATAATGACTAACAAACCTATAAAAATTTCAGCGATCGTCCAGTTCTGGTGCAACGAGGAAAATTTCGGCAATGATCGATCGGAAATTCAGCATATTTACGAGGAAGAAAAGCTCACCAAATCAAGATAAAAATGGTGGCATTATGGGGAATCACGCACTGAAAGAAGTTGAGGTGAGGAATTGTCGTAAAGACTTATGTTGCTTATTTCGGCTGTAAGTGCCCCTTTTCAAATGACAAAAATTTTGTGGTTGTTTGGAAAATTGTCTTTGATTTTAGTCTGGTGAATGTTCGCCCATGAACGAAGTGCAATTCCGTCTGCCCAACGATCGAAGGATTTCGTCGCCATCCGGAGATTCCGGTAAGTGCTGACATGATTCCATTGGCAGTTTCAGATCTACTTACTCCTGAACTAATTTTTCGAATTTTTTGAGCAACTGTGAATTTTTTGCTCTAACAATCTCAGTAGTTTCTCTTGGATTTTGAATTCAACTTCGATTTTCTTATCATTCTATCTTTTTCTTTCTATGCAGAGCCCATAAGCGTAATGTCAGAAGTCTGCATATGTAAGTTGTGTTGAGCATCGGGTATCAAATTTTACTGGAAAAGTCGACGAGCATGTTTGAAATCATTTTCTTATTGAAATGTTTTGCATGAGTGTTGCTTTTCGATGAAATCTTTTTTTTTTGTGAAAATTCATGCCGCTTAAGGAATGCATTAGAATGCCGCCAGGAATGCATTTTTTGCTAACTTTGATTTTGGCCTCAAGTTTACAAATCTGTTTTTCTGATACTCAAGATAG